TCTTCGCTCATTCTCCAGCTCAAATACATCCTTTCCTGCTCCATTTAGCCAATATTACTGAACCCTTGTCGTTCCATTATTCTTGGTTGGCTCTGTGTCGACCAATTTTAATTCTATTATTCTGCTTCTATCACTCATGCAAAACCTCTACGCTTCCTTGCTTTATTTGTGTGGATTATGATGACATACGCTCTTGAATACAAGAGCGTCATTCTAGTCGGTTGCCTGTGCGCTGATGCCTTACTCAATTTTGCTGTAGAAAGCTTAGCTCACAGGTGTGTGACAAACTCCGGTTTTGCGAATTACCTCGGTCAACGGTAACTTCTATTTCACCAGCTCCTTGGGCTCCCCGGTTTCCGTGATCTTTCTTAACGGATGTATTTAGTTGCAGAAGCTATCTGTTCGCATGTTGATTCTGGTGGATTGAGTTATTTTGTTTTAACTCATTCAGGACTGACGTCAAAAGTGACTTAGTGTCATTTGGTCAAAATGAGCAGCCTACCAGTGGAACCGAAATTCCATGTTTCCGAAAATGGTGTCGAAAGTTCGTGTGCTATAGGGAGAACCGATGATCTGCCTAGAGCAGAATTAGTTGGAAGCCGTTATCGGTTTGCTAACGGCAGAGAGAAACAGGATTCTGATGGGCTCAGTTTCCCAATCAGTGCGTTAAAACCATTTACCCACTCAATTATCTCACAGCTGCAACTAAGCCGGATGAGTTTGTTGAGTTTGTCGTAAGATTAATAATTTTCTGTATTGAGATATTAGCTAATCGGTGCATGCGCGAAAATGATAAACATACACTTCTGCGTGTTGTCTTTCCTTTGAACACTCACTGAATATTGGAGCTTCATCGAGCATGAATAAGTAACGACGGGAAGCAAACGCATCACGACGGCTTCCGCTAACAGAATCGGGAATTCGCACCCCGGATAGGCAGCAATCATCAATCACTCGAGCATCGATTGTACGCGACAGATAAGGTTGTTGGTCAACCTGCGCGAGAGTGCTTACAATGAAGACCACCAGATTCGGAGGTTGTCGAGGCTTTAGAATGTGCAATGTAAGCGACGGAACAGTACTCACAACGCTATTGGGCAAACGCCTTTAACAGGTGATGAAAGAGCTATCAAAGAGGATGTTAAAGACTGGGAAGTGGGGCAAGGAGACTGGGTTGGGGATAGAAGACGAAGAATTAAAAGAAGGTTTTGATGTCTGAGCTGTTGCTGTACCCATTCCACTGGAAGAAATAGTCAGGGTGGTCATGATTATACTGTCAACGAAGAATGCAGTATAGAATAAATTTTTCGCTGGTAAGCTCATTCCAGCTTCATACAAGAGACTGCAACCATTAGGCATTTAGTTCTGATAATAACCTGACTACAGAGTATAAGAGAAAACAGAGGTCACTGAATAGATGTGCATGTATATTCTTCAACGAAATCCTCAGATTGTGAATGGCCTAAAATAACTTTCTGGTGGTTATTAAGGACGCTAGCTAAGCTCCGGTCAACGTTCAACTGTCAACCATTTGCCTAACTTGTTGTTTAGAGACAGAAACATCAACACAAGGACGTGTGACACGAGAAAACGCCAGAACAAATTAGGCCATTATTTGCTAGGTGTGTTCTTCTGGTGTTTCAATGCAAGTTAATCTCAAGATTTTTGCAACTTACATTGAGCTTCATAAAAGCGTTTAACTGCACGTTTATCTTTACTTGCTGAAATTTATATTGTCGAACTGGGCTGAAAACCCCGCGAACGATGTTTATCATTATGTTCATTGAAATTTCAGCCAATTCACATAATACTTTTATTTTGAAGTTGTTTGGGAAAATATCAGAAAGGTGAACAACCGATAGAACATGATCTGCAAGCATCATCGGCATAAAGATGAATCGGTTGTCTGAGTAAGCTCACCTCAAAGAATTAAAAAGGTATTCTATCGAACGATTAGGATAACTGTACGTTTAGTATGTTAATGGGATGCGGTCAAATTCAACCAAATTGGCTGTTTGAGGACAGTATATGTCCGTTGGATGCACAAAACCCAAGCGATCTCGTCAACGAAAAGCTTTCGCTTCTCCACGTCTGCTTTCGACCCAATACAGCTTGTGACAAAAGTTCGGTACCCCTATCCCCCCAACCACGAGGTTTAGACAACATCTATCTCCATAAGGACAATTGTTTTTTGGGGTGGGTGGGTGGGAATTATTTTAACCGTCAAAAAGGAAGTATAAAAACGAAGTCCCAACACTAATTTTTAATGAAAAGCAAAATTGGTCAAAAGCGCGACAAGGGCATCATTAACTCTTTGACTTTCAACTAATATGGTTAGTATGAAGTAGAGCGACCATTCTGCGACGGAACCTTAGCACACCTTTTGGATACTCCATATACGACCCCAGACACGTGAGTGAACTTTCCCTAAAGCCAGCTCACGTGAAAGAAAGGTGATACAATGAAAGTGCATATGCTTGAATTTCAACCATGTATTGATGAAACATCCATAGTAACCTCGAAGTTTGCTTACTAATCAACTCCAAGTCAGCTGCAACAAGCAAATCACTGTTACGAGTTGATGGAAGTAATTTTCCGAGAAAATAGCCCCGAACCACTATTGCCATTAGTTCAGAAAAGGTTATCAGGATTTAAGATTAAAAACAGAAGTTCGTTCGTACTGAGAAACGTATTTTTAGTACATGGCCTCAGCAACTCTCTCGATGAAAAACGAGAATGACTGTCTATCTGCACGGGTGTTCCGGAATATCGAAGTTATTCTCAAATATCTATTGAAGTTCTACAATCCACAAAAGGTAATTGGGTTACACTCTGAAGTAGAGATGCTACGAAAACATGAAAAGTCTGTAACTCTTGTCGCGAAAAGCTTCACGAAGTGTTTCCGGATCAGCCACTACTCATACTCCAGGAAGATAGTGAAAAGATATTACTCTGTATAAAACTGAGGAGAGCAATTGGCAAGCTCGGCGAGCAATTCGTTGATGAAGGACAGGCTAACAGAAAATGACGCTGGATGGATGCCATTCGGAACAAAAGTATCAGAATCGAACAGAAGTAACAAGCTTGTGTCAAACACAAAAAACGCGGTTGATCGTTCTAGCATGACGATCTTTTATTCAGCAAAGCTTTGCATCACATCTGACGAAAATGGCTTCACAATGATGAGACGCATACACACAAATTTCTGGTTACCTCCATCAGAAGGTTACTGGAAACCAGAAATAGAACTGCCACAAAACAAAATATTTCTACCTTCCAAACGAATCCCAGTGTAACCCGTAATGCTGAATGGGGACAGTGTTCCGAAGGATACAAACAGGTGCCGGTTTCAGTTTGCACAACAATCAATCTGTTACTGTCATGCAACAATTCTCGTTTTTTTCTTTTCGGACATCCGTTTGGTTGATGATGTTGGGAAAGAATGAAATAAAGGCGTTCAAAATAAAGCGCAACAGGTGAGAAGATGCACGAAGACCACTAAGTACGAAATACGACCACATAACCCCGCGCCCTCAGGCACTGATTAAAATGGTCTAATGCAACCTGCGCGACCGAGTCTTCTGGTTTACATACACTAATGAGGCGGTGATCAAGTAGCTAAGGTCACCACCCGGAGGTCGTGATTTCAAATCACATCACCACCACCCGATTTTACTGTCCATTCCGTACCGAGATCCGCCCTGAACGGGTGAGACTAACCAAACCCCCCCCCCCCTAGTTCTATTCGAAATGGGAGTAAAACTATTATCATTTTCGTGCTAACACCTGTCAATATTAACTGAGCGCTGTGTCTGTATTATATGTCGACAGAAAGCACTTTGTTGTCCTGGTTGAGACACGGTAAAACTAGTCCAGTGCCATCTACCACCAAGTAAAGGAGACACAGCACTTATATCATGCAGATCAAGCGTTCCACATCATTTATAGCACTCATTCACCACTATCGAAACGACTCCGGTTAATCATTATATGCACAATCGAGGCGACCGTTATCTAAACATTAAAGCCTCTCCTAGCTATTGTTAGAAATAGCACGTTCGAACGTTTTAGCGTTGCCATCGCCTGGTATGAAGAAACCCAGTAATGTAACAACGACCTACAGGAGATGAAGATTATGTAAACATAACATTTCCTCTGTATATAGTTTCACCCGATCAAAGCCAGATCGAACAACACAAATAACCCCCATATAATTGTAATAACTAGCTTATGAGTTACAGAAAAGCAGGCTGTTTCGCTTAACAGAGTTTGTTTTTAATTTCGCGACGGGCATTTTTAACTAATTCTCTATCATATCCCCTGCTACAGATGGATTGAGAGGGAGACCAACTCAGTGCTATAACAGCATTTCGCTTAGAAACTGCAGAACTTATGACACAGCAACACCAATACTCAAACCATCCAGAAAAGTGTGCAATTCCCCAGCACCTGTACTCAGCAGTATACTCAAGAAAAGACAGCTATTCGTATGGCGGAATGTTGACACTGCAATCCTCCCACGAGAACAGGAATAACAAGGAATGTAAACACGCTGCTGAAAACAGTAAGATTTTCCAGTTCTCATTCGAAAATAAAAACACTTGACATGATGGAAAAAAGATCCAAAAACTATAGCTCCAAAAGACATCAGAGATTTTTTAAATTCTACAACTGAAAATGCGACTTTCTCGCCACCTAGAAACTGAACATTACCTAGTAATTTCAAGCCCGAAGGTGTTTTTGTTTCTACAACCGTTGCTTTCGAATATCCCGATAAGTGTCCATGATGTACAAGAGTTATTTTTCACAAAGAATGATATAGATACAACAAAGGGGATTCAGCAGCAATCCGGCGAGGCATAATACTCTTTTCATTAAAGGTTTCAATGATTGGCAGAGGTTAACGAATGGAACTGTTTTTTTTTTTCACGAAGAAGCTTTAGGTTACAAGAGACGTATGCATACAACAAAAATTTAAAGGGGATGGATAAACAGATGAATTATTCACTCACTTTTTCCTCATCACTAGTTCGATCTGTGGATACGGTGACAGATGAACTAGTTTTGGGACCTGGTGCCGTGAAACGCCCGCGCTGATTCGCTGAAACAGCCGAATTGGGTCTGGCAGGGTTCACTGAGCTTGGTAGGCTATGTACCGTATCCGGTGTGGGCCGCACTGCTGCACGCGTACCGACGCCCATCAGAGGTGATGGACTGGCTTGCTGCATCTGTTGCACTCCCTCAAACTGTAATTGCAGGGCCAGATCTAAGTCCGATCCACTCCCCAGTTCCTTCTTGGCTTGTTCGAGTATATCCCTATAAGTGCATGAAGCAAGAAGGCCATGAATGTAGAGTTTGAGAACTTACGACTAAATGAGGTACTGTCTTAACATTTCACCTTGAATTACAAAAATGAAACAAGTAATCTGCTCTGGTATATAATAAGGAACGATTTAAATTTTGAATGTGGAGGTTGGTATGTTCTCCGAGCTGGAAGTGTTGTTTACAGACATTTCATAGTCCGGCTAGCCAACATCATCAGTGCTGACTGTTCGGACAGAACATCCAGCTTGAAGAACCCGACAGCAATGACACATGCTACGGTAGTTTCAAATCGCCTTCTTGGTCGTACGGGACCACTATTTAGAAGATGCGCAGAAATTGCCAATCTCGGGCCAAGTTACATTGATCAATGGTTATTGGTAAAGACGGGTGAGCGCCAGATCACTTGATGCACACATGAAACGAACCACCGGAACCAGTTCAGGTAACGCCATGTTAACATATGAAACTCCTATTTCTGCACGTCCGTGTTCGAGAGATCCGAACTCCGCGGATGTGTGTGCACTGAGAAGGATTCATGCCAACAATGAAACGGTTGCATCGTGTGTGTGCGGCTTTTCAGTGGTGCACGCGTTACTCATGCACAGTGAACGACCAATCGCTTTTTCAGAGTATTCAATCACCCCAAAGCCAAAGAACNAAAGAACAGCCATACATAGACGTATAAATGGCTAACTAAATTGTTTGACGTCAAGACGATCACTTTTCGGTTTTTCCCGCCAAGATCTTCGCATATACGGATATACGAAAGGTTAGTTTCTGATTTGATTCCTCTCAATATCAGTCCACGCAACACAGTTAAGATCATGTTGGTGGTGAGTGTGATCCTTTGCTATTTTTTCTTCTTTCTATTTTACTTCCTCTTATTACATATATAATTATACAGATTGTAGAAAATGGGAAAATACCCATCAAAATGGTTGTCATACAACACGTAAACAAAATAGTAGCTATCAATACACATACTCATAATGCAAAGCTGTAGAGTGAAGTATATGACATACAAACCAACCCCCAAAATGACAAGAGTGAATGAAAGAACCACAACCATACTGATTGATGAGCATAAAGACTTACTCAGAGCAAATGTCCTTTAAGTTGTCTGCTGACAATGAGGTATGCGAAGTCATTTCACTGGCGCGTTTAGCAACTTCCTCCGGTTTCACAATAATAACGCGGGAGTCGGAGTTTGCCGACTCAATTTCTTCCAGTTGTAACCGAGCGGCAATACTTAGATCAGGGGATAGTGATTGGTCTGAACTACCTTCTACGGACAATTGCCTACAGCAATGAGGGGAATATGAGAGGGAAATAACGTGTTACGATTATGCCTCCTTGAACAGAGCAAAACGCGTGTCCGTAAATGTAGTGCCTGGTTTATCGTTTTGTCTGTACAAGAAGACAGACAAACTAGTAATGACATTACACGAAAAAGTATGAGAAAACGGGCGATTTATTAGTAACAATTAAATTGAAACTGCAGTAAAACGATATATGGTGCCCTGAAAGAGCGTGGTCAGTCATGAAATTAAGCCATGTCCATATTGTGATATTCATGCAAAAGCAAGAAGCTTTATTACTCATTAGGATGATTTTGGAAATCAGCGTTACGATCAAGTATAGACGGAGAGACAGACAGGAAAGAACAGAAACAATCATTAGAATCGTTGGTTGATGTTTTGACCTAGTCATTACTAAGTCCGATACCGTGGCTCAGAAAGTGTAGTGATACACATCATTACAACGGACGTGAAAACAATGCTAGAAAAAAAGAACAAGACGGACTCGATAAGATAGCTGAACCTGGATTCATCATGAACTAATCTGATCTGCAGCGCAATGAAAACCAAAAGGATGCAGAAGAGAGAAGTGATCAATTGCCGTGCATAAAACCAGTTTTAACCCAGCACTTTACCAACGTAGTTCCCGTGAAGACAATCGCGATTAAGTGACCCAAACCATCGGAGGCGGTTGAGAAAGATTTATTCCGTTAGAGAACGACTATCCGCACCCAACACACAAAGACGAACTCCGTTATTGCTTACCCTATGTTCCCACCAGACACGAGCAATGCTTCGGAGACATCGGTGGTCGAATAGAGAAAGTCGATTAGCATCCTCAACACGGAGACGAAGTCTCGCAACCGTAAAGCAGAACGCCACAAACCGCCGCGGTGTACACCTTTCCCTTAAGGGACAGTCGGATGTCATAGCGGTGCCACAGGTATCGCAAGCTGACAAAAGGTGTCCTAGCTTTGGCTATCCGCGATGTGATCTCCCCAAAATCACCCCAAGCTGCAGTCCAGCACCCGGGGTGCTTCAGGCTATCAACTACTTCTAGCTGGTAACCACAGAGGGCGAAAGAACGCACGGACTCCACCAATCTTGAATATGGACATTGCACTTGAATGGTGCAAGGTGTATACCTTACCTCAATACCTCAGTCGCCAAGCGAGTTAAAGGGTGTTGGACTGTCTGTGTATTTTCACCCAGCAAGGTAACGTCCTCGGCATATTCGACCTACTAGACAGATTAATTCAACATTGCATATCTAGTTGCCATGCTAGAATTTCGCAATAGTGGGAAGAGAACAGTGGTTTTTATTATTATTACACATCCACGTGTGATGAGCGGCAGACGGGGCGAACCCCATAGTCACGAGGACCTACTGTTTAGTGGTGGAAACCGGCAGCCTAAGCCCCAGGACTGGGAGTGGCGAATCACATAAGGCCCCGATAAGTTAGGCGTGGTATCGAATCGGACGACAGCAGAGCTGTCTATCACCAAAGTCGGGTGGCGGTGACGAGGCTCGAACTTCGAACCTCGAACCCCAGAGCCCAAAGCACGGCCGTAACAGCGACTAAACTACTGCGCCACAACCACGACCTTCTCTATGCCTCTACAAAAATACGATTTCACATCAGCGCCACGCAGCAAGCCTGGTCGAACAGCTGCAGCACACATTCAATACCCGACGGGCAGACGGAAAGGCCGCAGGTATATGAGAGATAACCAAACACCGAATTAGCATCTTTTTTCTGGTAATGAAATTCCGTTTTCAATTGATCGGATGGGAGAGTTGAATACATTCAAAAGACAAGACCTGTATAACTGACTGAATCAATGGCCACGTATACAACAGTACCCACGATATCTTGTCGTCCTCTGTCGGTATGCATATATTCCCTCAGACTGAACAGTTCAATTCACCTAACAGTTGTTATCGCCTACTACTCTGGATTCAGCAACCGACTGGTCAAAAAATGATAATTATTCGGCTAATTTCGTTGAATAGTACATTGGGGAGTGGATAATAAGCAATTATATCACTGTACCATTCATTGAGTTCTCGGTATCAGAAATTCTGAGCGATACACACTCAATTGTTTGACGGCTGATGATGCTCAAAGCTTGGTTGAATCAAGGCACATAAAATAGGCAGGTATTTCGGGGAGGAACGGTATATACAACACCAAGTCTTTAGAAATTAAAACTATCTCTTCGAGGTTTAAACTCTGTTGCTAATACAAAAAATTTTCAATTGAAATAAGGAAGTCGGAAAGGAACAAAAAGAAATTGACCACTGCGTAAATGCAGTTGGAAGTTCAGCGCAATCGTTTACCAACTTTTTCCAACTTCATCGGTATCGAACGGTCCAAATGGTCGGACCATGGAAAAAACGTGACATTTATCTGTACTTTTATTTCAATCTAACCGGATCAATAAATTGTGGGAAGGCTGACCTTAGAAGAGAAACGACGGCTAATCAGGAATAAGGAAATAAATGCTTCACTGAAAAAAAGATGACAGTGAAAAATTAAAATAGTTAACTTGTCGGTATTGTGGTAGTTGGATAGCGCTTTATAGCACATTAGCGAAGTGTATTAAGTTGTTGAAAAATCATGGATACTTAGCACTACATCACAGCAAGCGAAACTCGGATTAGCTGCAAAACATTTAGCGACCGAAAGTGAATCTGTAGTCCCTTAATAGAAATGAAAGATTTAATATATCAAAATGATGAATTTTTTATCTTTTCCAATTTTAATTGTTTGAATATAGAGTTGCAATTTTCAGGAAGAAAGAGGCGGGTCATCAAAGAGCTGCCATACAAGACATAAGGGGGGGAGTGGACTTATTCAATGTCAAAGAGGGAATCCGTCGTGCATAGCGCGAATGAAACATGAAGTGAAAAGCTAAGAAGAACTGTACAGCTATTTCGACCTGACTGGGTCTCATCAACAGTGAGAATCGATCGACACAACTGGGGTCGCGTTTGAATACTGACATATGTACATGACTTATGTCGCTGAGAATACGGGATAAAGGTATCAATCGCATAAACTTGTTATTTATATATAAAACTGTCTGTTTTTAAAATTAATTTTTACGATATAAATTCCCCCCCCCCCCACCTTGCAGGGTTAATCGTTCAGTGGTCTATTCTGTAGATTCCCTGATGCCTATCTAGCACACGTTCTGTTGGTCACTGTGTTCTCACTCTCCTTGGTGAGAGAAAGCCAACGATGCCGGTTCGAGTGCCATATTGGGAGAATTCAATGTACCAAGTTAGGTTGGAGGAATCGGTGATCATACCGATTTACAACAAACGTGATAGATCCTTTTGTGAAAATCAAAGAGGAATTAGTTTAATCAACATTGTCTCTAAACTTCTCGCTGGCTTAATACTCCGCCGATTGTCTGCTGCACGTGAACGGTGCACGCGTGAGAACCGGGCTGGTTTTAGACCGGTCGAGGTTGTATCGACCACATCTTCACTCTCCGCCCAATTCTGGAGCATCAACATTCTTTTCGTAGACCGACCATTTCCATCTTCCTTGACCTGAAACCGGCTTTCGACTCAATCGACCGCTCTAAACTCTGGCGCTGCCTTTTTCTGAAAGGTGTGCCCGAGAAGTTAATCTCAATAGTACGATTGCTTTGTACTAATAGCCGAAGC